AGATGTAGACAAATTTCAGCATGATTATTAAACTGAGGTAACAACTATTTGTCAATAGTATGTAATGTTTTTAAAACTTTTATTGATTATGCTGTACTTCCTTGGTGCTTTTATAGTAATCCCTGGGAAAGCTACAGGCATTGTTTTAAATTATCGAAGATTCTGTGAATGGCTACTCTCTACACTCCAGGTCACCAAGTTCTTTATAGGCTCACAAGGTGTAGGATTTCCCCCCACCCTCCTATTTACCTTTACTTCCCTCCCTCCCTCCTCCCTTCCCCTCCCCCCTTCCTTCGTTTTCTTCCCTCTCCCTCCTTCCCTTTCTTCCTTCCATTTATTCCTTGATTCCCTCACTTATTCAACAAACATTTATTGTCTAATATGGGAAAGGCATTAGACAAATTACACAGAGACAAAGAAAGAGCCACAATGCATCTCCTGCCCTTAAAAACCTTACAGTCTAAGAAGTAGACAACTAATCATTAATTTCAACTGAGTGTTATAAGTGCCAGCATAGGGGTAAACGCAGAATGTAGTTAGAGTTCAAAGCAGAAGGAAAAAAGTTAAGAGATGGTTTCACCAAGGATTTTCTTCCTTCCAAGTTGAGATTTAAAACAAGAGAATTCAGCTACACAATGATAGGATTGAGAGAATGAACAGAGTCAAACAGACATTATATTTTGAGGGAAGAGTATTTATAAAGAGCTGAAAGAATGAAAATATGTGGCACATTCTGTTGTCCTGAGGTTGTTTCAGGTGGTTAGAGTATAGAGTCAGAGGGAAAGTGGGAGCAAGAAAGAGGCTGGAGAGAGAAACAAGGGCAAATGTAGAGAAACTTGTACTACTATCTATTTAAGATCAGGTTCTTCCTTCTCATTGATGCCATTTCCTCCTCCTCTAGTATTTCAGCCCAGTGTTTTTGCTTTAGTGGGTTGGTTCTTTTGTTTGTTTTTGTTTTTGTTTTTGTTTAGTGTTTTCACCCTTGTCTATTTCTGGATCCTTCTCTCTTGTCTATGTAGCAGTGTAAGTCATTCTCATATGAATTCAAGTTAATATTCTCCACACTGCATGAATGAGAACAAAATTAAGACATTATAAATGAAAATAAAACTTAAAAAATTTTTGAGAATCTCAAATCTTGAATCTTATTTGCAAGAGGTAGAGTTTAAAAATAATAATAAAAATGGCTGGGCAGGATGGCTCATGCGTGTAATCCCAGCACTTTGGAAGGCCGAGGTGGGTAGATCACCTGAGGTCAGGAGTTTGAGACCAGCCTGGCCAACATGGTGAAACCCCATCTCTACTAAAAATACAAAAATTAGCCGGGCATGATGGCACACACCTGTAATCCCAGCTACTGGGGAGGCTGAGGTTGGAGAATCACTTGAACCCGTGAGACAGAGGTTGCAGCAAGCTGAGATCGTATCACCGCACTCCAGTCCTGGTGACAGCATGAGACTACTATCCCAAGAAATAAAAAAAACTAACAACAACAAAACTGTTTTTAAAAAAGATAAAAGGAATTTTAATTAGGAAAGTCTAACACACAGATAGAGTTGTGTGCAAAATATTAACCTGGGAATAAATATAAACAAACATTTATTGTGTAAATTAATAAATTATCTTGATAAGAAAATTAATAAAATGATGGACAATTGAATATATGTCAGGAGAGGATCACAAAATCCCTAAACTGTTCAGAAAGAAGTTAAAGATATTGAGTATGCTTAACATCTGTCAAGTGAAATATGCATTCCACAAACTTTATTAATAATTCATAACTTCAAACCTTGCAAATAAAAGCATAATAAAAAAGCTCAACTCTAATCATTCTAAACTTATGGCTTCAAAATTCATAAAGCAAAAATTAGGAAAAATGAGAAAAGTAACCTATCTCCCTGAGATATTTTAATTCATCTCTCACAGTAATTGATAGAAGTGTCAGAAAATAAACCAGAAATATAAAAGATTTAAATAACACAACTAACACAGACGGCTAAATCAATCTACTTAGAATTGTATCCCCAAATCAGAGAAAACATTTTTGTCAAATGAAATATTTATGCAAATTACCCATATATTAGAACATGAATTAAACCATAATAAATTTTAAATTATTTCTATCATATAGACCAATTTTATAAACATATCAGGATCACATTACAAATCAATTTTAAAAAATAACTTTAACATTAGATGAAGATGGAAGGGTTAATTTGTCTCATCACTGTCTGATTTTGCAAAGACACAGTTTTCCTTTTGGAAAGTTCCAAGAACACTGATTAAGGTTCAGTTTGGGAAAACAACTCAAATAAACAGAGATAGGTCATGGGTATGTTTAGAAGTCCCTATCATAAAGACTAGAGTTCTTACTCAATTATTCCATAAGTGGATACAGTTTTAATCATAATTCCAACAAAAATTTTTAAAGAAATGACCCGGATAATCCTGAAACTTATATGGAAGAGCAAGAATCAAGAAAAGCCTAGAACTCAAAAGAAAATATAAGATCAGAGGATTCACTATCACAGATAATTAACACCCATTATGGAATTTTAGTGATGCTGACATGGAGTGTTCAGATGAAGATGGTCAAATAGATCAAAGTAAAAAGTGAATGGTAAAAGATCCACACAAACAGAAAAACCTAATGTGGGAGAGAGATAGCACTGATTACAGATATATAAACAAAACCCATCAGAAGATTGCATTGTAACAATTTGTTTTATATATTATACAAAAAATAACTGGAACCTCACTTCACATTACACCCATACATTAATTTCATATTAATTATGCATCACATCTGGCAAGTGAAATATGCATTCCAAAAATTGTAGAAATAGCTTTTTAATTCCAAATTTGTAAATAGAAGGCAGAGTGAGAAAAATAAGCCTCAATTTTAAACATTCTAAACATAGTTTCATCTAAAACTATCACATAAACATTAAAAGCAGAATTCAGAAACATTGAGAATGAAATGACAGAAAATATTTTTATAATCTCAGGAGTGGGACAATTTCTTAAACAAGTTCACAAAAGGAAAAAGCACAAAGGAATGTATTTATACCTGATACTACATTAAACTGAGATGTCTTTTCATCAGAAGTTACCATAAAGAAATGAAGAAAGTTTGGGTAAATATGTTTTTAACATTTGTAACTAGAAAATATTTAGTAGTCACAATATATAAATTCTTACAAATCAGTGAGATGACACTCAGTATATAGCAGGAAAATCATGAGCAGGTTTTCACAGAAAAGGAAATACAAATCACCCCGCAAAAATCATTAAAAATGTTCAGTTCCATTAATAACTAATAACAAACCATAATGAGGTACAATTAAAAAGCCTTATTGTAGAGAAGAATGTCTTTAACTCCAGGTTGGAATGCAAATTGGCATAATAATTTATATATTATTTCCTTTTACTATCCTATTATTTATTTTATCTATTATGTTCTTATACAACAGTGAATGAGATATGGCAGGAAAAGAAAGCTTCATCTTCAGAAAGATGAGTCATAATGAAAGGTCAGATGCTTCCAAGCAGGAGCACACCACTGCTGGTTTTAGAGAAGAAGGGAACAAATAGCTAGGGAATGCAGGCAGCCTCTGAAAACTGAGTGTGATCTCAGGCTGACAGCTGCCAAGGAAACAAAGGCTTCAGTTCTCAAACCATAAGAATTAAATCATGTCAAAACTGAACACCCCAGTTAGAATGGGTAGTATCAAAAAGACAAAAAATAACGAATGCTGTTGAAGATGCAGAGAAAAGGTACTCTTAAACGTTGTTGGTGGGACTATAAATGAATACAGCCACTGTGGAGTGGAGATCACAGCAGTATGGAGATTCTTCAAAAAAAAAAAAAAAAAACCCACTAAAAAAAGAATTACATATGATCCAACAATCCCACTGCTGGTTATATATCCAAAGAAAAAGGAATCAGTATGTCCAAGAGATATCTACACCTTTGCATTTATTGCAGCACTATTCACAAAACCTAAGATATGAAATCAACCTGCTTCCATCAACGGATGAGTAGATAAGAAAATGTGATACACAATGGAATACTATTTGGCAATAAAAAGGAACGAATTCCTGTTATTTGCAGCAACATGGATGGAACAGGAGGGCATTATGTCAAGTGAAATAAGCCTAGCACAGAAAAATGAATACCATACGTTCTCCTTCATACATGGAAGCTAAACAGGTTGATCTCACGGAAGCAGAGAGTAGAGTAGTGATAACTAGATACTAGGAAGTGTAGGGGGTAGGGGGCATAGACAGAGGTTGCATAAGAGATAAAAAATTATAGCTTAATAAGACAAGTAAGTTTTAGTGTTCTTTAGCACTGTAGAGTGACTCTAGTTAATAATAATTCATTCTATATTTTCAATGAGGATTTTCAAAATCCTGGAAGAGGGCGATTTTGAATGTTACCAACACAAAGAAATGCTGAATGTTACCCTAATTTGATCATTACGGATTGTATACAGGTATCAAAATATCACATTAGACCCCTTATAAAAATATACAATTATTATGTGTCAATTAAAACAAAAACTGAATAAGTTTTTGTTTGAAGTTTTTCTTCAGTTTTTATTTTAATTGACACATAATAATTGGACATCTTTATAGGGGTCTATTCTGATATTTTGATACCTGTATACTAAAAATAGTGTTATCCTGGAGTCTCCAGATAGAAATGCCAGGCTACTGATACCCTGATTTTAGTCTTGCCAGTCCTAGGGCAGAGCAACCACTTGAGCCATGCTGTGCCCAGACTTCTGACTTAGGAAAAGGTTGAGATAATAAATGAGTGCTGTTTCAAGATGCTAAATTTGTGGTAATTTGTTAGGCAGCAATAGAAAACTAATATAGGCAAATTGGCTAAATATTTAAAAAATTGGCCAATTGCTATTTATTGACAAAAAGTTTGCTATTTATAACTCAAAACAAAAATCAGTATTTTTTATTTTTAAATATGAAAAACTCACCGTTTTTGAAAGAGAATGTAATTCATTTTTTGATGACTTTGTTTCCCTTATTGCTTCAGTCACTTCCTCTTCCTTCTCCTCAATATTAGTATTAACATTTATCACTGATGAAGAGTAATGATCATATAGACTGGTAAGTTGATACATCTCTCTCCTAGGTAGAAAAAAATATATTTTAAATTATACTTAGGCCAGGCTTGGTGGCTCATGCCTATAATCCCAACACTTTGGGAGGCCAAGGTAGCAGATTACTTGAGTCCAGGAGTTCAAGACCAGCTTGGGCAACATGGAGAGACAATGTCTTTACAAAAAAAAAATGGAAAATTAGCCAAGCATGGTGGCACATGCCTGTAGCCCCATTTACTGAGGAGGCGGAGGTGGGAGGATTGATTGAGCCCAGGAATTTGAGGGTGTAGTGAGCTGTGATTGATTCACTGTACTCCAGCCTGGGTGACAGAGTGAGATCCTATCTCAAAATAAATAAATAAATAAATAAATAAATAAATAAATAAATAAATAATACTTAAATTAGCTTTAACAGTATGAATCAATGGAAATCCATCCCAAAGTAACTTGACAATTTCTAAAAAATACTACTTAGATGTTAAGTAAATAGTGAGGGAAAAAAGTCATCAATAGTATTGTTTCCAAGGGAAAACATAATTGAGAGAAAAATCAATTATAAATTCTTTCAAATAAACTGTCTTTGAATCTGATTTCAGGTAAGAGATTTACACACTTTTAATTCAGAAGCTGGGTAATACAGGGATGGAAAGGTAAGAAAAAAAGAAGAGGAGGCAGAATTGAAAAGACCAAGCAGTTATAGCTTTCACAGCCTTAGAGGTAAAATAAAGGAAATTGTAGCTTAGGAAAACACAGGACTTTTTAAAAAGAAGTAATAGTCAAAGAGTTATTTGTTCCTATATGACCCTCCCAAGAGGACCAGTGCTAGTCTGTGAACCACACAGTCCTTTATCTAATCTAGCAAGTAGAAACCATCTTCCAAATATAAAATTACTTTAGATACTGTTATGGTTGTTTAATGTAGAAAAAAAAAACAGTGAGAAAATGATAAAATTACCATTTTCATAAAATACCAGCAAATAATATAGATAATTACAACTTTTTAAACACACCTTAAACAAAATAGTAGACTAGGAGATTTATTTGAAACCCATATAAAAGTAAAACTTTATATTTAATAAACTCATACAAGTCAATATGTAATAGAAAAATTATTCAATAGAAAAAGGCACAGAGAATATGAACAATCTCCAATAAATATATGGTGTGCTTATTGAATTGGCCCAGATTCTTATGCACCAACCCTGATTCCAGCAGCATGGTCAAAGGAAACTGAAATCTACAATCTCACTATAGAAATGAAAATTAAAGGAACAAACAAATAGGCAAGAACAAGATTCTTTACATTTCCATGTCTGCAGAGTATAGACTTAACCTGTCAGAATCCTAGAAGCCAATTAGGCAATGAGAGTTAGGTAGTGTCAACATTCAAAATGTATTAATTTCTTTTGAAATTAATTTTTCTTCTCTCAGTGTTATCTGTTGCCTCCAGTCCAGAGAATACACTATGGATTTTTGCCTGAGTGATGGACAATTGCCTACTGCCATGCAATTTAAGAGTTATTATTTTAGCGGTTCACTTATTCCAATTCCTTGATGAAGTTGATGCCACTAATTCCTCAGACTTTTGGGGATTTTCTAGGAAAGCAGTTTATACTATGCTTGTCTCACTGTTATTTTAAATTTCATCATTGTTATATCAGCTAAATCCAAATAAATTTAGAAGAATAAAAGGGAAGAATCACTCTTACCAGTTGTTAAGAATTACTATGCAAACTCTGAAATCAAGAAAGTGTGATATTGGCAGAGGGATAGCCAAATAGATAAATGGAATGGTCATAGACAACTCAGAAATAGAGCTACACAAACATGCCTGATTTTTGACAAAGTTACAAAATCAATTTAATAAAAGTAATTTAACATATGGTGATGGAATAATTACATATTCATTGGCAAAAAAAGTGAAGCTCAAGCTAAATCTCACATTTTACACACAATCTAACTAAAAATGGCTTATATATCTAAATATAAATTGTAAACCTATAATATTTTTAGAAAACAAACTTCTTTGTTACACGATTAGGGCAAGATTTCTTGTGTGTGACACCAAGTACATGATGAATAAAAGAAGAAAGTGATAAGTAGAATTTTAGAAAAATTAAGAACTTCTGCATTATAAAACACCCTCAAAGACAAAAAGACAAGACTTTACTAAAACATAGAATATATTTGCATATAACATATCCGATTAAAAGTCTTGCATTTTCAAAATTAAAGAATTCTGTACACACAACCATAAGAAAACAAACATTACAATGGGGAAATGGCAAAATATTTGAACAGACACTGTATGAAAAAGAGACTTCAATAACAACTGAGCACACGAAAAGATGTACATCACAGTTTGCCACTAGGGAAATGCAAATTAAAATCATAATGATATATCACTACAAACTTACTAGTCTAGGTTGAATTTTTTTTAAAAAAAATTAGTGTTCTCTTGTAGAGAAACTGGATCTCTCATACATTGCTGGCATTCAGATAAAGTGGTACAGCCATTCTGGAACACCAGTTTGGCAGTTTTTTAGAAAATTAAATTTACACTTAACATACATCCCCAAAATCACACTTTTTGATATTTATCCAAGAGAAATGAAAAACTTATGTTCACACAAAAACTTCTACATTTATATCCAGGGCAACTTTATTCAAAGTAGCAAATAACTGGGAGCAAACTAAATGTCCCGCAAAGGGCAGATGGTTTCAAGCTGTGGTACATCCATACAATGGAATTTCATTCAGTAATAAAAAAGGAATGAACTCTTAGTACCTTCAACAACCCAGACTGATCTCAAATGCGTTATGCCTAATAAAAAAAGCCCAAATCAAAAGTTAAATATTATAGGGTTTCATTTATATAGCACTCTTAAAATGGCAAGACTAGAGATAGAGAAAATAATAGTGGTTGTCAGGAGACAGAGAAAGGACAGTTGGTATGAATAAAAACGGCAGCATAGGAAATGAAACTAGTCTGTATTCTGATTGTAGTGGTAGTTACTGAATCTATACGAGATAAAATGGCAAATAACAATAAACACACACATACATACATACATGAAAATATGTAAAAAATCATGAAATGATTAGGCTTATCTCAATTTCCTGGTTTTAATACTGACAACAAGTGCAGTATATACAATACAAGATACTCCCATTGGAAGAAGCTGGAAGAAGGGTACACAAGACTCTGTGTCTAAACTCCTAAGAGTCTACAATTATTTATGAATAAAGATTTAAAAAGCAAAATATTAGATGAAACAGACCTGCATACTTATCAAGACTGAGATAGGACACATAAAAAATCCCACATACTCAAATATGGGAGAGTGAACTCCAGTGGTTCACTTGAAAACCTACAAGGTATCAGTCTAATAAAGAATCATATTTCAGGCTGGGCATGGTGGCTCATGCCTATAATCCTAGCACTTTGAAAGGCCAAGGCAGGTGGATCACCAGAGGTCAGGAGTTTGAGACCAGCCTGGCTCATGGTGAAATTCTGTCTCTGCTAAAAATACAAAACAGCCAAGAGTGGCTCCATGCACCTGTAATCCCAGCTACTCAGGAGGCTGAAACAGGAGAATCACTTGAACCCAGGAGGCAGAGGTTGTAGTGAACCAAGATTGTGCCACTGCACTGCAGCCTGGGTGACAGAGCAAGACTCCATCTCAAAATATAAATAAATGAATAAACAAATAAATAAATTATACAAATACATTGAAATTAAATGACATGTTCCTGAAAGACCAGTGAATGAAGACAAAAATTAAAAATACAATTAAAGAATTAGTTGAAATAAATGAAAATAGAAACTCAATATACCAATTCTATGGGACACATAAAAAGAAGTATTAAGAGGCAAGTTTATAGCAGTAAATGACTACAGTAAAAACTAGAGAGATTTAAAATAACCTGCTGATGCACTGCAAGGACCTAGAAAAGCAAGAACAAACCAAAATTACAATAAGTAGAAAGAAAGAAAGAAAGATCAAAAGCAGAAATAAATAAAATCGAGACTAAAAAATACAAGAGATTCACAGAACAAAAAGTTAGCTTTTTAAAAGATAAACAAATGGACAAACCATTAGCTAGATTATCAAAGAAAAAAAGGGAAGACCCAAAAACCAAATCACAAATGAAAAAGGAGTTATCACAATGGGCACCACAGAAAATAAAAGTATAATTAGAGATTACTGTAAACAATTTACATGCCAATAAAATAAAAAACCTAGAGGAAATTGATAAATTCGTAGATACATACAACCTATTAAGATTGAACCAAGAAGAAATAGAAAGCCTAAACACAGCAATAACAATAAGATTGACTCAGTTACAAAAACTCTTCCCCCAAAAAAATCCAGTATCACTGAATTCTATTGAACCTTTAAAGAAGAAATAACTTCAGTTCTTCTAAAACTATTCCAAAAATTTGAAATGAAAGGAACTCTCCCTAACTCATTCCACAAGACCAGTGTAACCTTGATACAAAGCTAGACACGGACACAACAACAAAAAACCACTATAAACCAATATCTCTGATGAACACAGATAGAAACATCTTCGACAAAATGCCAGGAAACTGATTCCAACAATATATCAAAATGATAACACACCATGATCAGGTGGGATTTATCCCAGAAAGTCAAGAATGATTCAACATGTATGAATCAATAAATGTGATACATTTCATCAACGCAATAAAGGACAAATGCCATATGATCATCTCAGTAAAGGCAAGTAAAGTATTTGATAAAATTAAGGATTTCTTCATAATAAAAAATATTCTTAATAAATTAGGTGTAGGAAAAGGTACCTCAACATAATACAGGGGCCATATATGACAAAACCACAGCTAATGTCATACTGAAGAGGGAAAAGCTGAAAGATTGTTATATAAGAACTAGAACAAGACAAGGATGTCCAGTCTCAGCACTTTCATTCAACGTAATACTGGAAGTCCTAGCCAGAGCAATTAGCCAAGAGAAAGAAATACAGGGCAGCGTCTATTTTGGA